GCACTGCAGTTCATTCAATAAATGTGTAATGAACACCTTCCAGGTGCAGGTACTGTTCAAGGAGTAAAGACTACAGCAAAGGACAGGACACAGTTGCGGCTCTTACAGCGCTTACACTCCTTCCTACCAGGATGTCCAAGGCCCTGGGGCTCATTGCAACTCCAGCTCCCTTCGTCCTCACCCTCTCTGTGCAATTGGCCACCAAGTCTTGCCAGTTCTGCTTCCGTAGTACCACTTGAGTTGGTTCCCTCTTTTCAGGGTGTTCTCACTGCCATGACTTAGTTCAGGCAACTGCTTCCAACCTGGTCTCCCAGCCTCCAACCTCGCCCCTTCCAATCCACTGTACACTGCAGCCAGAGCTATTGTTTAAAAACACAAATCTGGTTATGCTTCTCCTTTGCTTAAACCCTCCACGAGTCCTTCTCATCACCTTAATGATGAAGTCTAAGTCTCTTAGCTAGGTAGATGTGTATCAGTCAGGAAGGAGTTCTATTAGGGAAACCAAATCAGTAAGAGATTAGGGTTCTATCAATCATCTATCTCCCTATCTATCTACCGATCATCTGTCTTGTCTCTCTGTCTATCTGTTTGTCTTATCTACCTACCTACCTATCTATTGAATCTATATATCATCTATCTTATCTGTCCATCTGATCTATCTCCAGAGATTTACTTAGAGGAATAGGCTTCTGTAGTTGTGGGCTCTTGCTAGACATGTCTGAAATATGCAGGGCAGTTTGGAAAGAGTTCAACCAGTTGGAAACTCCTGGGCAGAGCTGAAGCTGACGTTCACAAGCAGAATCCTTTCCCTCTCAGGGAAATCTCAGTCTTGCTCTTAAGGCCTATCAATGGATGGAATGAGGCCCACTCAGATGATTGAGGACGGTCTTCTTTATGATATCTAATACAGCTAATATTAAAGTCAACTGATTGTAGATATTAACTATATTCACAAAATACCTTCTCAGCAACACCTGGAGTAGTGTTCGGTTGAATACCTGGGTACTATAGGTTAGCCAAGTTGACACATAAAACCAATCATCCCAATGAGGTGCTCTTGGACCTGATTGATACCTGTCTCCCTTACCTCTTTTCTCCCCACTGCACACCAAGGCTCAGTCACCCCTGCAGCGTACCAGCTGGCCTTCTGACACCTGTCCTTGCACAGGCCTAGAACCTTCCCCACCCCTTTCCTAGATAACTTCTATTTGTCTTTAAAACCACTCAGATGCTGCTTCTTCAGAAAGCCTTTCCTGACTTCCCACCACTCAATCGTCCCACTCTGAGTTAAGCACATTGGCTCTGAGTTTGTAAAGCCCCTACTAATCACGTGAGATGGAAACTGCCTCAGGCCTGCCAGGTCTGCCTCAATAGTATGTGAACAGCTCTAGTACAAAAACTTTCTATCACATCACTCTGGTAAGCCCCACATGATGCAAATCCCGATCAGCAGCAATGATCTGATTTACTTGTGTACAAATCTCCCCTCCCTGTTAGAAAGAAAGCTCCCTGGAGGTAAGAACCATATCTATCTCTTTCAGGGCAGTATCTCTCAGACCTAACTGTGCTTTGTTTCCCCCACAGGGCTGTCATATCACATGAGACAGCAAACATAAATGAACTTGGTGATTTGGAAGCTCTGTACCAATGTTAGGGGACATTGTTGTTGATATTGCAATTGTTGCAAGCAGAGCACTTTTGCTCCACCAGTCAACTGCATTGTTTAGCTGGAGAGAAACAGAAAGGAATTTTGACATGGGACAGACCTGAGTTTCAGTTCCATTTCAGCCATTTCATGGTGAGTTGTGTGACCTTAAACATGAATTATTACATCTTTCTGGTGCTTGGTTTTCTGATCTGTGAAAATGGGGAAAGCAGTTGCACCCATCTAATAAGGCCATAAGGCAACAGCCAGGTTTAAACAAGGTAATCCATGTCAAGTGCTTGGCATAGGGTTAAGCCCATAGGAAGAGCTCAGCTAATATTAGCTACTAATAGTCATTCTGTCAATCATTGGTGGCTGTTCGTAAATGGAGCCATTCATGGTTCAATTTCTCAAGTCTCGCTTTTCTGCCAGGAAACTTCCTAAGTCTTTATGCACCAACACCTGTGATTATGCAAAACCACAATCAGCATTCATATTCCGAACATAAACAGAGAATTCGCCCTTCAATACTCTCCCTCCCCAATTTTCAAAAAATAGTTTCTGGAACATAGAAAGATGAACTCTTCATTTCTATAGAAAACAAGTGTTCCTGGTTTTATAATCATGTAACCCTGAAACAGTTATGTTTCTTCATGTAATGCACTTTAGAGGTTCCATAAAGGAGTCGTTGTCAAGAGAAAACACAGCTGGTGCCCAATTAGAGAGGTGAACGAGACTAATCGACCAGCAGAACTCTTAATTAAGCTGGACCACAAACTGCAGGTGAGAGATGGTGGGTGGGGAACAGCAGTGGCCCACACATTCATGCAAAGGAATGAATGGGAAAGGCAGAAGATTTTCATAAGAAGGTAAAAAGTTGGCCACTTTGGCTACACGTCAATTTCAGCTTTTAAAAGCTGGCTTTGCAGAGGCTGACACCTGGTTTTGACTCACTCTGAACTTCTTTCTTTTCCCTTTCCCTGAGAAGCCTCCAGCTCTTTCACTTCTATTTGGGCATCAGCTTCTATCTTAATTGTCATCACTGAAGATGCTGTGCTGGGAAGATTCTGAAAGTGGACTGGAGAGCATCAACTTCAGGAATACCTCCCAGCACTGCCTGTCTGCATTTCTTTTCTGCAGCAGTGCTCTCTTTAGACAACTCCTGTCTCCCTCAGTAATACCCCACTCACACCCCACTCTGGCTCATTTTTGCAAATTGCTGCTGTCTTCTTTGTCCTCTCTTCCTACTGTGCCCTGTAGTATCCCTGTATTGTGCCAAATATACTCCACTTAAAACCTCACCTCTCTGCTTGCCTTTGTCTCTGGATCTGAAGTGGAACCTGTATACCTTGCTGTCTCCATGGAGATGGTTTGCTTTTCCATATTCCACGCACATCAAAGCCAAGAAGCAGGACTGAGCTTCTTTCACGTCCCCTAGTGCCACCTACACCTTAATCCTCTACCTTCCTGTGACACACATACACTTGCTGCCACACATTTGGTAGTCACATCTGGAAAGAGATGCTGGATCTGCCATGCACTGAAGAGATGTTGTGTTTGTCTGTTTGAGAGGTGGTATGAAGTGGAACAGAGGTTCTCAAAGTGCAGCCTGGGGACCAGCTGCTCAATGATCACCTGGGAACTTCTTAGAAATGGAAATTCTTGGGCTCCACTCCAGAACCATTGAATCAGAAACTCTAGGGGAGGGGCCAAATATCCTGCTTTAACAAATCCTCCACCCTACCCCACCCCACCCCAGGCAATTCTAGTGGTTACCCGTGTTGGAAAACCACTAGTGCAGCATTTAAGGGTATGGGTTCTAAAGCCGGTTTACTTGAGTTCACATCCCACTTGTGACATATGCTAGTGATGCAACCTTGGCCAAGTTACACAATTCCTCTGTGCCTCTTTTTCCTCCTCCTTAAGATGGGAGTAAAAATGGATGTCCCTATAGGGCGTCATGAGATGACTGAAGTAGCTACGCATCTAAAGAGTTTAAGACAGTGTCTAGCATATAATAAGCTCTCATGAACTGTTAGCTCTTATTATTATCATCATTACATGGAAATCAAAAAAGACCCTGGTCCTTGGGTGTTTGTGTCTCTGGGTCTGGTTGCTGTCATCTCTGACATGTAAGTGGCTCCTCCACACGCAGTGCTTCTCCAGATTTCCACGGAAGAGGCATGTGGACCTCCACACATACTTTTTTGAAATCTTTTATTTTATTACTATGTTTGACTATTAAAAAACATTGTTTACAAACCTCATATCCTGGTAAAATTTACACCCCAAGCAGCTGAATTATACTTCACCAGGAACTTGTTACATCCTTCCAGACTCCCTTTTTCCCAAGACTAGAAGCGTGACTCCATCTTTCCCACCTTTGACCTCCTCAGCATGAGGGACCTTTGCTTTACTCCACGTCAGCCACCTACACTCAGAGCCACACCCAGCTCTTATCTTGGCTGGCTACTGCTCCACCTTTGAAATCTCAAACAGCAGGCCCCACTCTGACCCCTCCCTCTTGTCTTTTCAGAGCTCTCCTCAGACTGGCTCATTGACCTCCTGAATTCCAGACTCTGAACCCCTCCCTCGTTTCCTTCCCAGTCGTTCAAACCTTACTGGTTTCTCAGATTTGCAACTCGCCATACCTCTTCCCCTGCCACGTTGATGGATGCATGGAGCATGAGCAAGAAATAGACCTTTCTGTATGTAGCCACCTAGAATTTTTTTTTTAATTTCTGCATCATGACCTGGCTCATTTTGACTGGGGCACCTTTTTCCTAGGTGCATGTGAAGAACAAAGAGGTCATGTACACAGAGCACTAAGCCCAGTGCCCGGACAATAATAACTGCTCAAGAAACATTAGCTATTAATCTTATCTGCCAAAATCACAGGGGCCACACACTGCCCTGTAATGTGTCTGCAAATTCCATCAGATCCCTTCTCCTCTATGCAATAGCGATTTCTATTATTCATTATCCCACCAAACCTTCAACCTTTGTAGAGAAAATAGAGGTAATCAGGTGGAAACTTTCTCAATAATTCTCATCCAAATTGATCTGCAGGTTTCCTTTCTGATCAATTTCCTTTTTATTTTAGAAGCATTTGGGTATCTCCTGACCGTGTGAACTGGAGGACAGAAGGAGGGGTGACTTCTAAGACCAGGAAAGGTTGAATATCATTCATTCATTCACTGATATATCCCTGGTAAGAAGGGGTCTAGGGCCTAGAGAAAGGTGGTTTGAAGATTGAGAGCTAAAGAGACAGCTATGCCAGATCTATTTTTCTTTCCCAAATAGACCCCCTCTTTCCCTGTGCTGTCTTTCGTTTACCATTCTCCCTTCCCGCCAGGTACATGACTAGCCAAAGCTGGGAGAAGGGGAGGACTGGACTGAAGCTCATGAATTAGGCCATGCTGTCACTGTCCTGGGTTTCAGGAGGAAAGGAAGAGAAGCCCAGTGAAGATTATGGAGGAAAGCCTCAGGAAGGAGGTGAAGCAGGGACTACCCTTCTGGAACCTCCATCAACTCTCCTGGCTACGTGAGCAGTTGACGTGCAACCAAAGGCCTGCATGCTTCCCCCTCTCCAGACAGGTTTCTCTGGAACCCCAACAGACAGACAGACAGTGATCTTTCTCCTCTCCAGACAACATCCTCAGCTGCCGCCGCTGACTCAGCCTCCCCGCCCTCCCCGTGGGTGGAGTAGGTAGGCAGCCTGTCCCTGGGGTTGAAGTTGTAGGTGACATAAGGGTATAGTTGCAAACGTCTGCAGATAGGAGACCTCTGATTTCTCCCCAAACCTTGGGACATTCACAGCTCTCTCTCCTTTACCTGTCAGTCAGCCCCACCTTCCAGTTCCAAACCCAGACAACCATCAGTTCCTTCTGTAGTAGACTGGAACACAGTGTCCCTGGAGGCACAGAAGGCCCTAGCTGAAATGGCCTTTGGGACTAGCTAGCATTCCCTTTGAGGAGAAACAGACTGCCCACCCATTCCAGGAAGGCCCAGGAGGCCTGGCTACAACATCTGAAAAGAGAGCAACTGACATCCCAAGTGACTTTCTTGTTCAGCACAGCAGACACAGCACCTTGGGTCTATAAGAAAATGTTTTCATATAGAATAGTAAGATCTTTGCCTTTATGTCAATGTAGTTGTAAAGTATAATTTTACACACACACACACACACACACACACACACACATTTTTCTGGAAAAGGGAGTCCACACAGGCAAAACTGCCTAGGGCCCATGAAAATCATATCACAGCCCTGCTTATATGGGGATCAGCTTTCTCTTCTATAAAATACAGATCACAATACTTTCCACACCATTCCACCTCCAGTTTCATCAGTATTCTGCCTAAACATCACTGACCTTAACATTTCCAGATTTGAAATGTTTAGAAGCCCCCCCACGTATCCAATGTGTAACAGCTAGATTCCTTAGTGCTGCATTTGAGGCCTTTCACTGTTTTCCACTTTGAGCTTCTACCATTGTCCCCTTGTACACAACTCTCCGGCTAGGAACATCATACCTCGTGCTGCTTGTTCCGGGAACAGGCTGGACCTTGAGTTCCAGCATGCCTTTGCACACTCAGGCCCCTTTTGCTTCAAAAGCATTCCCTACCCCTTCTCTGCCTGATGGTGTCCTATGACAGCACAGCTAGTGAAGTTGCAGCATCCAGTGAAAAAGAAAACGTGGGGCTCCTTGCCGAAAACTTGTTGAGAATTTCAAGATGGTAGAGGAGAACATTCAACCATGTATGGGGCTCTTCTGTGCTCATGGCCCTGTGGACCTGCCCATGAAGCCATCTCTGCCTACTCCTTTCCTGGGAACATCTCAAATGACACCTGATTTTTGAAGCAGTTTTTACTCTTCAAGACCAGCAATAGGAAGTCACAAAACGAAGCACTTCTTATGTTCCAGGCATCATGCCAAGCACTTTACAGCCAAGGTTTTATTTAATCCTCACAACCACTCCACGAGGTAGGTAGAATTATGGTCCCCATTTTGATGATGGGTAAACTGAGGCTCAACAAGCAGGTGGCAGAGTTGGCATTTAAACTGAGGGCTGCCTGAGCTTAGAGCTGCTGCTCTTACCTATCAGGCTGCACCAACCCTATCCACCCTCATGGCCTTTCAGTCTTGCTTCTGCTCTCCAATTTATAGAGACTCTAGGCCCTGGTCCCGTTCCTTCAGTCTCTGGGCATCCACCCTCTCAGCATGTCTGGTCTCCAAATACCACAAATACCCTTAACCTGGCACAGAGGACCCTGCCCACCACTCGGCTGGAACCCTCCCACATGATCGTCACTAATTAATTACTTAAAATTTCCAGAAAGAGTCATGTCTTGTCATGCTCCCGTGACTGTGCACATGATATTCTCATATCAGAAATCTGTTCCAAAACACTTGGAAAGCTCCTCCTAACAAGCCGAGGCTCATTTGGCATCACCTCTTACAGGAAGCCTTTCACAACTTCTAGCTCTTCCAAAGGCTGAGTTCCCATAACGTCCAGGCTCACCTCTGGCCCATAACTTACTGTATTTACCACAACTGGGCTGAGAGACCTTTGAAGGTAAAAACAGTATCCAAGTCATCTCTGGATCTCCAGCCTCCAGCCTGGGACCTCTTTGGCATCTGGAAGCACACAGTAGGTATTTTCTGAGTAAAATCTATAGATTAATGATATTCACCTGTCTGGTAGCAAGGATGCCCCTGCCACATCCTGGGGACAGCTACAGCTCGGCAGCAGCCAGAGACCCAACATCCGGTGAGAGCAGGACCACTGAGAGCTCCAGAAGGAGGCAAGATGGATGGCTTGATTACCTGATGTGCTTGAAGATTTTGAGAGCAGACTTGGATTTCTCACCAAGGAGAGAGGGATGAGTGTACCTAGAAAATGAAGCTAATAGGTTTTTTAAATGGGGCATCAGTTTCAGTGACAAGAATGTCATATAAAAGCAAAAATTTAATCATGATACAATATGGCTCAGCTGTGATTTATGTGGTCACAATGCTATAAACACTAATCTAGCAAAAGGAATGTTATAACTAGACTGGAAAGTTGGGAAAGGTAAAGTGTCTATATGAGAGAAGAGAGCTAAGTCCTTCTCTTTTGTGAGAGAAAGTCAATAGACCCTACTGCTAATGAAAAAATTAAGAAAGGGATGTGTAGACATAGTATTTAGAAACACAGACGTAAATACTGCACGAAATATTGAACCATGGCTGGCTCTGGGTGGTAAGATTTGGGAGTGGAGGGAAATGGGGCTGGGGAATGGGCTTTGTAGAACTGCTGCCTTTTTGAACTATGTACGTAATGTTGGTAAGAGATGAGTTTAATTTTTAAAATACTGCTCGTGGTTTGAAGGCAGGAAAGTGCTGCAAAGCAAACGCCTCTGTCCAGTCAGCCTGAGTAATCTCCCTGAAATACCACCTTGGGCAGTTCATCAGAGCCCTCTCAGGCCCAGGAACTGGACTGGGCTGGTCTACCTTGCAATGCCCTCTGTGGCCTGGCCCCACCCTCCCATGCACACGCCCTTGGCACCTCAGTGACTGGCTTCCTGCCATTTCTCCTGCGGATGCTATACCTCTTACCTCTATGCTTCTGCCTAGGCTGTGCTCCTGCCTCTGCATAACACCTTTCCTGGCTCTGCCCTCCCAGCTCCTTCCTCCAGCTGCCTGGGACAAGTGTGCTTGCTTTACCCTAGGACAGGCCTGCCTTCCTTTAAATCATCTCTAGATTACTTATAATGCCTAGCACAATGCCTACACATCACTTCACTTGTGTGGATTTAACATAATACTTGATACACGGTAAATTCAAGTTTTGCTTTTTTGAAATTTTGCAATTATTTTTTCCTGAATATTTTTAATCTGCAGTTGGTGCAATTCATGAATGCAAGACCCACGGATCCAGGAGGCCGACTGATACTGTTGTAAGCACTTTTCATGCCCTACCACAATACCTCTGAGATTGTTACTGTTATAATCCCCATTTTGTGGCTGAGAAAATGGAGACATCGATTAACTAACCTGTGGCTGAGGAAATGGAGACCTGGACTGACCGAGCTGGGAGAGGTCACATAGTCAGTCTGCAGGGAGACTCCGACTTGCCCCCGGGTGGTCTGGTTTGCTTAATGATCCTGGTACTTGCCTTTGGGTCTGCTCTGATGGCCCCCGCCTTTCTGTATTTCTCCCAGCTCGGCACAGGAGGGAAAGAGACGGCCCTCAAAGGGAGGAGGGAAGTCAAGGGCTTCCGAGGCAGGAGGCCTCTGAGGCAAGAGTATGGGCTCCACACTGGGGACAACACAGGCTCGGGGTGTGGAGCAGGATGATTTAGTTCAAGGGCTGGCCTGGTATTTGTTGGTCATGTGGCCCTGGACAAGCTACTTCACCTGTGTAATCCTCTGTGTTCTCATCTGTAAAGTGACCACAGCAGCGGTATCCACCTCACTGGGTTTTATTGGGATTAAATAAATTAGTAAATGTCAACCTATTAGTGAGAGTGGTGCCAGGCAGGGCCAGCCCCGCCAGCAGGGAGATAGGATTGTGCTTGAGAACTTCCTGCAGTGATGTTGGGCAACTTCTCTTTCTCTCTGAGCCCCGCTGACCTCAGGTATGAAACAGAATTACTAAAACTAACTCCACAGATTTGTTGTGAGGATTAAATGAATACTGCATTTTGTATTAATATCTGTTTATAAAGCTAACTTGTTCTCCAAAAGCATTTAAGGTGGCTAACAATATAAGATTCGTTTTAATTTGAAAATAAATAATTTGGGACTAGAGAATGGGGCGATAAGGAAAAAGGAACACCAACTATGTACCCACAAAAACTGAAAATTAAAAAAAAAATTAAACAGATCTTTAAAAAAAAATGAGATCCTTTTTAAAAAGGCCTGGCTGCTCTGGCATGTATTAGACACTCTAAAAGTATTTGTTGTCATCTTCCTGGCTTTAATATCTGGTCCCAGTGATTCTGGCTACTCGAGATATAGTTAATTACAGGGTAATTTAGTGTTAGAGGTGACAGAGAGGATGGAGGGTATCAAAATGTACTCTTCGTGGCAAAGGGAAAGTGGAGATGAGCTTTGAGGATTCGAGTCCCACCTCTAGCTTCAGAGAAGTTCAGATTTTATTTATATTATACCTTGGGCTTCTGGGTATAATTGCAGTTGATGGAAGGGTTCCACTCATAGAACAAAAGAAAAAAATAGGGAATTCAAGTAATCAGCATATTTCTCCTCTTTTATTCTCCTATAAGAATATAGGAGACTATACTGAGACCCAGTAAAAAAAAACAAACAGAGCTTAACACAATTGACAATTTATATTTTTCATAAAGTTCTTCATAGGGAGAAATCCACCAATCACAAATAAATCCTTTATCAAATCACCTTCATTCAGCAACACTTATTGAGCACTTACTATGTGCGTGCCATTGTCCTAGGAATCAAGCTATGAATGAGACACATTCCGGCACTCAAGGAGCTCACAATCTAGAATTGGATTTAGAGTGAAAGGTGCTACCACAGGGTTGCAGCCCATTGATGGGGAGGTCAGCCTAACCCAGGAAAGCCTTACAGAAGAAAGCCTCACAAAAAGAGGACACTGAGTTTTCTTTCGAAAGAAGAGCAGGGTTTTGCCAGGCAGCCAGTGTAGAGAGGTTCACCCCATTTCCTAATCTCAGCGCTCCCCGTACTTCCTGCCCTTACTTGTTAGTCCTTGTTTGTCTTCTCTGCCAGGCTGCAAGTGATGTATGGGCCTTGTCCATTTGCCCATCCTGTGTCCAATGCCTCTAGCACAGGAGAAAAAAAGCAGAACGGAGGGGAGGGGAAAGGGAGTTCCAGGCAGAAGGAAGAGCACATGCAAACATTCAGAGGTGGGAAGTAATATGGTTCTAAGAACTTTGGGTTGTTCTAGATGGTTCTGGACACAGCAGATGACTTGAGTTAGATCAGACATTGAGTGTCATTTCATTTTGTAGGTGATAAATTGTGTGTCGTGATTCTGGTTTCAGAAAATATGACACTCTTTGGTGGTTGGTAGTATTATGGTAACATTAATGTCCACAGAATCTGGAATCTCGGATTTGAAATGATGAACTTCAGGGCCCTTTAGGTATATCCACTCATACAACAGATCATCAACAGTGTACCATGAACAGAAGATGTGGTTCCTGTTCTCCAGTAATCTGGCCATCCTGGTGTTGCTGTCAGCTGCCTTATATGTGTTGCAGGATGTCTTACAGGACACAACTTCTGGCTCTTACTAGATAATAATTGTCCATAAGTATTGAGTTTGTATACAGGTATTGATCGACTTATGACCTGTGCAACTTACGACCATTCGACTTTATGACCACAATCGCTAGCCACGACTGCTCCGTGTCTGGCAGTGCAAACGTTGCCCAGCTGGGCATACGACAGTGTGGACCAACTTCCGGCAGCACTACCATTTCTGCGTGCATATAGCCTACTCAACTTTTGACCAAATCGTGTTACGGCCGGTCTGTTGGAACCAATCGTGGTCGTAAGTCAAGCACTAGCTGTAATGAGTTTTACATATTGTTGTTTCATAGACTCTAAAATGTGACAGATTATAAGACTTGTCCTAATTTCAGAGATGCTGAAATAAAAAATTTAAGATCTATGAGATATGGTGCAGTTATCTTTAGTTTCTTCAACAAACAGGTAGTAGCTACATGTACATATTAAAAACTAAGGCTAAGTGAGGCTCTATACCTTGTCCTCAATATCACAGCTCATAATTGTCAAAGCTGTATGCTCTAAAGGCCATTTATTGCCCAACCACTGACCCCCATTGCCACTTGTGAGTACTCAAGATACCTTTTTT